CTAATCTTTGGTTTCTCATAATCCATATGCATTGATTAATATGTTGTTTATATGTGAATGATTCAATTTCAGGCTTGTGAGAACTGAGATGCAACGCTGGATGCTGGAATAGGGCGTGATTCCACAATTTTCGTGGATTTTCTACTTCTCAAGTAAGCAATGGCTTGCTCTAACTTGATATTGAAAATGTTTGAAGCCTTGTCGGCTTATATAATTGTGGCCTGGTCGGTTTGTATGAATGTTCATTGTAGCGTGTAGGATCAATTGCACAAGCGCACGTAGTCACTGTATTGAATACTTTATAATATATATAAATATTTTATTCTTTATATTTGTTTGTTGTTCTACTCTTCAGTGTTAAGTTAGCAATACGTTGCATAATGCACTGTTAGATTATGCATTTACGTTAATCTCCGGGGGCCCAATTTTGGGAGTTCGCCTCGGGCCCTGAAAATGACAGGACCGGCACTGGTTGGTATTATATGACATTCGTGATGAACTCCAAAAAGAATGCTAAGTCACTGACGAAGAGAATGGACAATTCAAATAGAATGCAGTTGTCGAAAGGTCATTTCAAGAGCTTTTTGTTCTATCAAAATTCATTATTACATTAAAGAAAAAAAGTGGCCGAAAGAGAAAGATGTAACTAAATGACTAAAATAGCCATTTTGTACCTATCTCGGGTCGTAGATATTTGATAGGGATAGCGTTATGTCTTTCGATCACATGATTATTAACTCCGTATTGTTTATTAGAATCGTGAACTTATATGTGTAATCAACTAGGGGTGCATGGGTTGGGTTGGGTCAGTTTTTGCCTCAACCCAACATGATCGGTTTGATCAAAATTTAATCAAACTCAACTCGTGTAAATGTTGAAACATAACCCAACTCAACACAATCAAGTATCGATCGGGTTGGGTTGATCGGTTTGTGACGATTTGTCAACAAAAATTAAAGTCATCCAATTTTCTATTATACTAAATTCGAATAGACAAGAATAAATTGTAAGTAAATAAATAAATAAAATCATCTATTATCTTATTCAATCCTCATTAACCGAGCTTACAAAGAACAAAGTGCATTTAACATAACATGAAATACTTATACTACATTTTTTATGGGAATAACAGTAAGCTCCTCCTCTAAAATACACCAAGGTAATTACAATTATACTATCTACTTATAGTTTTTAGGCTTCTTTTACTTTTCTAGACATTTTATTTCTTTTCTTTTTATTTTTTATTTTTTATTTTTTAAAGTGGCGGGTTGGGTTTGGCGGGTTTATTCGGTTTTCATGAGTTAACTCATAACCCGACCCGACCCGACCCGCCTACAAAGCCAACCCATCCAACCTGTGTAAAAACAACAAAAAGATCAACCCAATGCGATCGGGTTGGTTCGATTTGGGCGGGTTCTGTCGGATTTTGCCCACCCCTAAATCAGCTATAAAAGAGTTAATATAGAATATGCATAGTATCAATGACTTGAATATTGTAAGTCAAGAGTTAAACGAGGCTTGATTTAAAAAATTAGAGCTTTGTTTCAATTATTTCATTTTCTCAAGGTAACTTTAATAATAAGAATGGTTGTACATGTGTATTTCACATTATTAGCACTATAAAAAAACTGAAAAAGGCTTGGAGACTAGAATGGGCTAACCAAAAGCAGAGTCTGTATGAAATCTTTCGATCTCTTGTTCGAATCATAATAGGATTCACGTGATGTGATGTGATAAAATAAAATTCAACTAAGTATATGTTGATTTATTGATTACCTCGATGTATTAGCTCTAATTTTTTATCTTCATTTGAATCACCACGCTATCTCTGATTCTAAAAGTATAGAATATTCAATACTTTCTATTACTATTTAATTGACACGTGTATTAAATAACTGAAACTCATTATTTAATTGGAACTCATGCATACAAGTGAATTAATAGTAACAAGAAATGCAGAGTTCTATATATCGCGACTACTAAAAATATTCTCCATCTTCTAGATATCCTCCAAGGACAATTCTAAAACTGTGGGAAATGATTTACTAATCTAAACCTATGAACAACATAAGGATATTACTTGCGTGACGATTACTTTGTGTGAATATTAATTGAGTAATAGTTGATATTCGTATAATTAAAATCACTATTTGACTTTACTTTAAATTATAAGGAGATTATAATTTGAGAAAATTACATAGAACATTGCTTTCTAAGTTTTCAATTCAGAAATCAAAATTTATCTTTATTATTTCTAAAATCAGGCATATACTATACCCCTCCACACACCATCTTACCTATAATTTAATCCATTTCTCCCCCAATTCAATTCAACAGATCCACAATCAATCACCTCTCCATCTTTACCCCCATCGTCCGTCGCTATACCACCGCACCATTTTTTAGATGACCTCCACAAGTGGTGGTTAGTGGTAGTAGAGGCGTTTGAGTGATCTTGGTGGTGGTGTAGTGGGATGGGACGAAGAGCGTTTGTGATCAATTATTTGTATAATTTTGAACAATAAAATAAGTAATTTTGACCAATAAATAATATGTGACCTAAAAAAAATGTTATTTCTGCCTCAATTTTTATTTTTGACTCACAATTTGTATCTTTATGATTGTAACCATAAATTGTGTTATTGACTGTGATCTGATTAATTAAATTATAGGGTACAAACTTTTATTATTGGTCACAATGTGACCAAACTCTTATCAGCTTGAATTTTGAAAAAAATTCACAAGTTCATTATTTTTGAAATCGTATCTTCAAACCTTTATAGTTATGTAATTTTCCCATACAATTTGGCCTATAAATTGATTGATTGTGACTTACTATGATGTATAATTGTGACCTAAACATATGTATGGGGGATAATGTTAGGGAATCAAAGTGAATCAAACCAAAATCGAAGGCCCGTGTTTACACAGTCTCTTTAAATCGAATTCACCGCCTCACAGGAGTGCAAGATGTTTTGATCAATGTTCAATTCTCAGGATACAATCGGTTGTCGGTTCACGCTGCACTACGTTAATCGCCTACGAACTAGTTGTGTCTATCTCTCAAAGAAATAAAAAAAAATGAAATTTTAAACCGGAAAGAAAGAAAACTTCTTGTTGGAGAAAGCTTGTATCTCACTTGTTTGAAGCTGTATCTCTCACCTGTGTTTTCAACCTAGGGAGAGCTTCCATTTATACCCATAGAGGAAGAGCCTCTCATTAACACATTGAATAGCATTGAAGATAAAACAGATGAAACTAATTGTGTAACTTTCCAACAGATGAAACAGATGAAACTTATTTTCATTCAAACGGCTGAAACGTTGAAGTTGATGGAAATGAAACTGATTTTCATTCAACAATTTCAAAAAGATTTTCATTCAATATCACTATTTTCCAACAATCCTCCACATGAATGAAAATTTGGGAAACAAAGACTAAAGAGAGAGTAAACTGAATCAATCCTGCATAAGATAGGTAGCATTTAGTTTTGAACATTCCCTTGTAAAAATCTATCAAGCATTACTAGCAAACCAGTGGATCTGATACCTTTAACTGTTTCTCCCTTTGTGTAAACTAAGATAATAGACCTCACACATGACCATTCTAGACACAGCCTAGTTCTCCATTTGTGTAAACCAAGGTAATAGAGCTCACACTTCTTTTAATTTGTGCCACTTTTTTGAATTCGTTACTTTTTAAAAATTTATCACTTTTTTGAATTTTGTTACTTTTTTTAGTTTTTTGTCACCTTTTAAGTTTTTGTCACTTTTTAAAAAGATAAAAAAATGAAATAATATATTATATTTTCCTAACATAATCAGCATGTGGATTGGCTTGAACGTGGTGATTATTTTAAGAACATGATTACTGGTGTTGCTCAAATGGATGGTGCTATTTTGGTATTTGTCACTTTTTTTTAGTTTTGTCACTTTTTTTGAGTTTGTGTCACTTTTTAAAATTTTTTTAAAAAAGTGACATTGTTTCACTTTTTCATTTTACACAGTATTTTTTACTTACTAAAATCTTTTTATATGATTTTTCAAAACATCCCTAATTTTAAGGGTATTTTTGTAAGTACCCCAACAATCAATATCAATCACATCTTTCATGGGTCCCACTTTTTTCAACAACACATTTAAAAAACTTATATTACAATCTACTAAAAATCTAATTTTAATCCCCACCAAACACCGTCTTATTTTTGTAGTAAAAAGTCACATTCCTACAAGTACGGCCCTAATTAGACCTTTTTACTTGAGATGACTTTCATTTCATTCATGAATAATGATATTTAGTACAAATGGTACTAAACCACTAGTATAGATGATCACACTTGATAGAATCAATTAAAAGAATCTTGTAACATAGTATTGAAGTGAATATATCATTTAGTACAATGTAGTAGTCCGTCATCTAAATTAGTATTTAACAATACTAGTGCTAAATAATATTATTACGATTAAAACCCACAATAGGACCAAAATGCTATGGGTACACTTAGCAGACGCCCCACCAATAGAGAGGAATGGACACCCCTATGAGTACACTTACGTACCCATAGCACAACCCCTACACGAATGAGAAAAATTCATAGGTCAGAGACTATCTTTCACGAAATAAAAAATCAGGCCCCAAAGTTTAAATTTACAAAACTCAGGTTTTTCCATGAATTAATTAATTATATTTTACAATTAATCTATTAAATTAAATATTTAACTGTAATATAATATAATATATATATAATTGACCCATCCCACCGAACCACTCCACCCCACCACCACCACCACCACCACCTCCACTGCTCCAGCGACTATTCCAGTGACAGGCGACCGTCGACTGTTCTCCAACCACACTTAATTTCGACGACTATTTTTTGGTGACCGTTGACCGCCGCTTAATTTCGATAACTGTTCTGATTCCAAGGTCACAGATATAGTTAAAAGTTTAATTTTCGGTCACAATTTATCAAATTAATTGGTCACAAATTATTTTAAGGTCACAATTGAAAAAATTTATAGGTCACAGATTTTTAATTGGTCACAAATTAAGAAAATTTGTTGGTCACATATTATATTTTGAGTCACAGAATAACAAATTTTAAAGTCACAGTTAAATAGTTAGCCACAGAGAACTATATAGTTCGTCACATGCACCCAAATACATGTCTCACAATCCCACTACATCACCAATACTTGGTCACATATTGATATAGTTGGTCACATACACCCAAACACCCGTCTCCCAATCCCAAAACACTACCAATACTTGGTTACAGATCGACCAAATAGTTGGCCACGGAAATTCTTCATCCCATCCACCCGAAGTCGCCACCAATACTTAGTCACAGATGGACCAAATAGTTGGTCACAGAAACTCTTCGTCCCATCTACCCGCCACCGCCACCTCCATTGCCCCAACCACCGACCAACAACCAACAATAACACCAACGACAACCAATCGCCAACAACAGCTATATACAGAGAGATCTGCCTGCTATAGCTACACACACAGAGATCGCCACACCACAACCGAGAAACCACCACAAACCGCTGCATCGAAGACCCACGGCACCTCCACCACACACCCACTACTACGCCACCGCACCACTAAAAAAAAAAAAAAAAAAACCAAAATCATCACCGCAAAATCACAACCATAGGGGGAGGGGGAGGGGGAGGTTGCCGTTCAGCAGCATCGCGGCGCTGCTGAACGGCATCGCGCCGCGTTCGCAGCTGCGTCACAGTGACGCTGCTGCCTTTCGCAGCAGAGGGGGATGGGGAGGGGAGGCGACGAGCGGCGGAGGGAGTAGGAGGTGACGGGCGGCGGCGTCGGTGGAGAGAGGTAGCTGTGGAGGCGGCAGGTGAGGTGAGGAATGAATTGGATAGGTTAGGGTTTTATATTTAAAATAAATTTGGTGGGGGTAGGGTGGGTATATAAATTATTTTAATTTTATAATATCATTATTAATTAAAAAAAGATAAAACCTAATTTTTGATTTAATAAAGTTAAAACCCGATTTTCATAAAGTTAAAACTAAACAGCTAGTTTTTGGTAATTATTATAAAGAAAACACTCGCGTGGAAGTTCTAGTTATGTTAGTTAGAACCCCACCTTAAACCATTCAACAAACAGTTGGTGCTCTCGGCTCATGGTTCTAAATCGTTCGATACACAGCTGAAACGCCAATGGCCATCGCCACCATCTCTACCACAACAGCTATTCCCATTCTGACTACCCAAATCCAAATCAAACCAGAACCAATTTCTACTAATTCCAATTCCAAAAAATGGTCACTCAAATCGTGCAAAAATCTTCAAGAAATTAAACAACTGCATGCCCATATAACAAAACAAGGTAGTTTACACAGTTCCAGCACGCTAACCAAACTCATAGCCAAGTACGCACAAGTGGGCTCTCTTGAAAGCTTAGAATATGCCCAGAAGGCCTTTGAAATATTCAAAGGTGATGGAGAAAATTCTAATACTAATGCAATTTACTTGTATAATTGTTTGATAAAGGGGAATTCTGTAGCTGGGTTTTTCAGTGTGGCCATTTTGCTATATGTTGAAATGATGGTTGAGGGTGTTGAGCCTGATAATTATACATTTCCTTTTGTTTTGAGTGCTTGTTCGAAAAGTTTTAGGCTTTTTGAAGGGGTTCAGGTTCATGGGTCGGTTATGAAAATGGGTTTTCAAGATGATATCTTCATTTCAAATTCTTTGATACATTTTTATGGAGAGTGTGGGGAAATTGATGAAGCGAAAAGGGTGTTTGATGAAATGCATGAAAGAAATGTGGTGTCGTGGACTAGTTTGATTAGCGGGTATGCAAAGATGGACCGGCCTAAAGAGGCTGTTCCTTTGTTTTTTGAAATGGTGAAGGAGGGAATTCAGCCTAATGAGGTTACTATGGTGTCTGCCATTTCAGCTTGTGCAAAATTGGGGGATTTGGATTTGGGGAAGAGTGTGTGCACTCATATTCAAGAGTCAAGGTTAACTTTCAATGCTGTTATGGTAAATGCTCTTGTTGATATGTCTATGAAATGTGGAGACAGTGAGATGGCAAAACAGCTTTTCGATGATTGTGCAGATAGAAATTTGGTTCTATACAACACAATTTTGTCTAATTATGTGCGTCTGGGAAAGACAAAAGAAGCACTTGATATATTTTGTGAATTGCTTGAGCAAGGACCTGCGCCTGATAGAGTAACTATGTTGTCTGCTATTGCAGCCTCTGCTGAACTAGGAAATCTTTGCTTTGGGAGGCAGTGCCATGCTTATGTTTTGAGGAATGGGCTTGAAAGCTGGGATAACATTGGCAATGCAATTATAGACGTGTACACAAAGTGTGGCAAGCAGAAATGGGCTTGCAGAGTTTTCGATCGAATGTCAAACAAGACTATTGTTTCGTGGAATTCACTGATTGCTGGTTTTGTTAGAAATGGTGATGTGGAGTCAGCACAGAGCATGTTCTATGAAATGCCAGAAAGGAACCTTGTGTCTTGGAACACCATTATTCATGCGTTAGTACAAGAGAGCTGTTTTAACGATGCAATTGAACTGTTCCGTATAATGCATAATGAAGGGGTAAGAGCAGACAGGGTGACAATGATGAGTGTCGCATCTGCCTGTGGCTACTTAGGAGCTCTTGATCTTGCAAAATGGACTTATACCTATGTTGGGAAATATGAAATTCAATGTGACATGCGGCTTAGTACTGCTCTGGTCGACATGTTTGCTAGGTGTGGGGATCCTCAAAGTGCAGTGGAAGTGTTTGAAACAATGAAGGAGAGGGACGTCTCTGCTTGGACTGCTGCAATAGGAGCAATGGCCATGGGGGGAGATGGGGTACAAGCAGTCGAGCTTTTCTATGAGATGCTCAGGCAAGGGGTGAAACCCGATGAAGTAGTTTTCGTGGGAGTACTTACAGCATGTAGCCACGCCGGATTAGTTGAACAAGGAATGGATATATTTAGGAATATGAAGGGAAGTCATGGAATCACTCCACAAATTGTCCATTACGGCTGTGTGGTTGATTTGCTCGGTCGAGCTGGTTTGTTGGATGAAGCTCTTGATATCATAAAGTGCATGCCAATGGAGCCTAGTGATGCCATATGGGGGGCTCTTTTAGCTGCCTGCAGAATACACAAAAACGAAAAGATGGCAACACATGTAGTCGAGATATTATCCGAGTCTGCTAAGGAAAAAACTGGAATTCAAGTCCTCCTATCGAACATATATGCTTCTGCTGGCAAATGGAGAGATGTGGCCAATGTGAGAATGCACATGAAAGTAAAAGGAATTCGGAAAGTCCCCGGTTCAAGCTCAATCGAGGTAAACGGAGTAGTTCATGAATTCACTTCAGGTGCCGAATCCCATCCAGAGAAGGCCCTCACTGACTCAATGCTACAGGAGATGAACTGTAGACTAAGAGATTCAGGTTATGTCCCTGATCTAACAAATGTTTTGCTGGACGTAGACAAACAAGAGAAAGAATTCTTGCTGAGCCAACACAGCGAGAAACAAGCCATTGCCTTCGGGTTGATCCATTCAGATCACGGAATGCCAATACGAGTTGTTAAGAATCTCCGGATGTGTTCTGACTGCCACTCTTTCGCTAAAATGGTTTCCAAAATATATGATCGAGATATTGTTGTTCGGGATAATAACCGGTTCCACTTTTTCCAACAAGGGTTGTGTTCTTGCCATGACTATTGGTGACAATGTAAGTGCATTTTACTCATCTCTTAATGAGTTGAGAGAGTACAGGTTTTTGTGCTTACAAGTGCAAATTTTCAGAGAGGCAGTGGCTATAATGGATGACAATGGATTCGATTAAAGAATCACTTATTTTGATGTGCTCTAATACTACGTTGCAACAAATAATAAAGGAGTTAACACAAAACGATCTACCAGAAAATAGACATTCCGAGGACTTAAAACAGAGTAGGATTTCAAGAATGATGTCGTGTATCTTGGGACGACAGAGACTTCAATCCGCTATGGCTTCTTGGGGCTTGGCTTCTGCCACCCGAGTCTTTCCAAGAGCTCCTCAATCAACCTTTAGAAACAGAAAACCAAAAATTCAAAAGAAATCGAAACTCATAGATTCCAACGCTAATAGACTCTATTAGCACTCACACGCTGCAAATAGCATTCTGCGAATTTACCTGAGTAATGCCATGAGATGAAATGTCGTCGTCCATATCAACTGGACTAAGCATGAAAATTACTAATTACTGCTTAGCACAACGCTAGCTAACTAGAATTGTCTATTAACTAATGGCCTGCTTGGGAGTTTTTTTCACCGGTTGTGATCGGTTTTGGGTGGCACCGTCTATGAGGTATTGGAAAAATCGGTGCTTGCTAGTTTTTCTAAATACCGATTTTGAGTGTAGTGTAATTTTGAGCGGTTTTCTCAACTCACCAAATCGGCGGGTTTTAGTTTTTTCTCATATTCTCTTCTAATTTTACCCTTTATAAAATAATTACTTTAAACCAATATATTTTGTTCAAAACTAAATCGTAAATAAAAATATATTAACTAAAAACTTACTTATCATTTAAAAAATTATATTATAATTAAAAAAATATTTATACATAAAATATTACTTTTAAGATAAGAAAAATTACATTATAATTTAAAATTATTTATAAGTAAAAAATACTTTTATGTAAAAAAATTGTTATAAAATAAAAATACCGCTAATACGACAAAATTCACTTATAAAATATAAAAAAGTTACTTATAAATAAAAAAAATTCACTTAAAGTTATTTAAAAGTATAAAAGTAACTTATAAGTAAAAAATATTAACTTATATGTAAAAAAAATTCTATAAGTAAAATATTACTTATGAGTAAAAAAACTCATATGAAAGAAAATTTTACTAAAGGATAAATATATAATTTTATTCTTTTAAAAAACTTTCATAACCTAGTAATAATAAACTTCCAAGTATAAGTTGGAGAATTTTAAAAACCGCTACTAAAATCACTTAAAATCGATCCGCTTATAAACACTCAAAATTGATATTTTAAAAAAGGTTCTTAACCAGTATGATGAAACTCCCGAGGTGGCTCTAAAGTGTCTTGCAGAATTTGATCATAATGTGGTTTCGAGTGTATATGATAGCGAGAAAATGTTGTTTATGTAATCAAACAAATAAAGTTTAATCCGCAGGAGTGTGACTAAACTATACATACATACATATATATGTATATATATACATACATATAGGGTTTGAAAATTTAGTATGAAAAAGTAAAATTGCAGCCAAGAGGTAAGAAGAAGAAGAAGTAGGCAATGATAATCCGAGGCAAGTGATGACACTTTCTCCTTAAGACAATATTGCCATGCTACGGTGCTCACTGTTTTCGACACTTGTTTCCCAAGATACAACGAATTCAATTCTTGTGGTAGCAGCACTTCAAACCACAAGACAACGACGAACGTGACGGAATTCCCTCTCTACAAGGGAAACGGTTTTGGAATGAATTTGGGAGAATTTTTACAAGATATTTTATGAATGTACAATGCACATATGGTATGGGATGTAAAAGGGACGTCCAAGAGTTTCTATATATAGAGGATGAGGGGTTGTGAATGAAATGTCGCGCCTAAACTCGACAACACTTGCGAAAGGTCCCACCATTCACTGTCGCTAGCCTATCGCCATCGCCTAACTCGAGCGATAAAAACAGTAACTTTTTCGCTAGCCTGTCACTGGCCTTAGGGGTGGGCATGGGTTGGGTTGGATCGGTTTTTGCCTCAACCCAAACCAAACCCAACCCAACATGATCAATTTGATCAAAATTTAACCCAACCCAACCCGTGTATAGGTTGAAACCCAACCTAATCCAACACAAACAAGAATCTGTCGGGTCGGGTCGGGTCGGGTTGGGTTGGTCGATTTGGGACGACTTGTCAAACAAAATTAAAGTCATCTAGTTTTCTATTATACTAAATTCGAATAGACAAGATTAAATAGTAGTAAATAAATAAATAAATGAAATTATCTATTATCTTATTTAATCCTCATTAGTCGAGCCTACAAAGAACAAAATGAATTTAACAAAACATGAAAAACCTATACTACATTTCTTATGGGAAGAACAGTAAGCTCCTCATCTAAAATACACCAAAGTAATTACAGTTACATTCTCTACTCATACTTTTTAGATTTCTTTTACTTTTTAAAGCATTTTATTTCTTTTATTTTTAAAGTGATGGGTTGGGTTGGGCGGGTTTATTCGGTTTTTATGAGTTAACCCATAACCCGACCCAATCCAACCCGTCTACACAGCCAATCCATTCAACCTGTGTAAAAACAATAAAAAAATCGACCCAACCCGGTAGAGTTGGTTCCGTTTGGGCGGGTTCGGTTGGGTTTTGCCCACCCCTAACTGGCCTGTCGGTCGAGCGACAATCCAGCCATAAACTAGCAACAGCCTTAGTCAATTTTTTCAGACAACTTCCTCTATTTTCTTCCCAATTTTGGACTACAATTTCTCATTCATTCGGAATTGATTTTGAGATTCCAAATATACCACGACGATCTACTCGACGAATAGAACAAGTTGGTCTATTTACATTTTGTAATTTGACCATCGGATCAAATTCGAATATTTGGCCGAAGTTGACACGAAAGTCATTTTTCCCAAGTTTTTGGTTTTGACATTTAACCAAATTTTCAATCTTCTAAACCAATTTTCAACAATTCTCCACATGAATGGAAATTTGAATCATGCATATGCAATGCGAAATTATGATGCATTGTAGAGAGAGAGAGAGCGAAAAAACATTGCGTCGGGTAAGGTGGCTTCTGGCAAGGTGGCTTCTGGCTTTGAACATCCTTTATTGAAATACTATCGAACTTACTTGGCTAATTGGTGAACGTGATGTTTTGAACCATTCAGCCATTAGTGTAAACCAAGACAACAATACTCACATAGATGTCTTCCCTAATCCGTTCATAGTTCTCATGAAATTGGTTAAGTGTTTAGAGAATTGTAGCCTCGAGTAATTCTCATTGAAACGGCCCCACTTCACACTCACATAGGTGACCTCCTATTAAGAATATTCCGCCATACTCCACTTGACTTAATCAAGATATTGGAATCATTAAAAAAGTATCTTAACCTTTAATCATTCTATAGAAAGCACTTTAATATCATATGAATGAGTTAGGAAATAATTTCCTAAGTGTTTCATTGAATCTTCATAACTTGGTTGTCCCTTTGAACTAAGATCTTGGGATCTCCAGTCAACAAGTTAGGGTTATCATTATAATTATCCTTATGTAGTAGGCTTTAATCCCATTCCTTTCGATAGGCAACCTATTTGATCTCTAGGAAAACCTTTCATAAGTGGATCCACATGTTCTCCTCTGATTTCACATAATCTATGGAGATGCTGCCATTAGAGATTAGTTGCTTAATGGTATTATGTATGCGACGTATATGTCTAGACTTATCATTATACATGCTGCTTTGAGCCCTTCCAATAGCTAATTGACTATCACAATGTATACTAATCGCAGGTACCGACCTGGGCCAACATGGAATATCTTCCAAAAAGTTACGAAGCCATTCTGCTTCTTCTCCATCTTTGTCCAAAGCAATAAACTCCGATTACATCATTGATCGAACATTATACATTTGCTTTGTAGATTTCCATGATACAGCAGCTCCACAAATGGTAAACACATAACCACTAGTAGACTTGGAATCCTTAATGTCTGATATCTAATTTGCATCACAATATCATTCCAATACCGTAGGATATTTTGTGAAATGTAATCCATAAGTTAAGGTATACTTCAAATACCTAAGAACCCTTGTTAAAGCCTTCCAATGATCATGGCTTGGGTTACTTATGAATCTACTAAGTTTATTCACAGCATATGCTACATCTGGTCGAGTGCAGTTCATAATATACATTATACTGTCTATAACTTGTGAATACTTAAGTTGTGACACACATTCACCCATATTTTTGACTAAGTGTATACTTGAGTCAATAGGGATTTTCACAGGACTTTCCTCAAACATGTAGAACTTCTTAAGTATCTTCTCAACATAGTAAGATTGGGAAAGTACAATTACTTCCGATATTCTTGAGATCTTAATCCTAGTATCACATCAGCAACAGCCATGATTTTCATGTCAAAATGCTTCGTTAGCATTTTCTTGGTGTTTAGTAACATTTCGTGACTATTGCCTATTATCAACATGTCGTCTACATAAAGACATACAATCACATAAGCATTTGGTGTATGTTTTACGTATACACATTTGTCACACTCATTGAATTTGAATTCGTTTGACAACATTGTTTTGTCAAACTTTTGGTACCATTGTTTATGAGCTTGTTTCAATCTATACAAGGACTTAACGAGTTTACAAACCTTATGTTTGTTATTAGGAGAAACAAACCCTTTATGTTGCTCCATGTATATCTCGTCTTCTAAGTCACCATTTAGGAATGTCATTTTTATATCCATTTGATAGATCTCAAGGTTATGTATTGCCGCAATTGCAATTAGTAGCCTTATTGACGTGATTCTAGTCACGGGTGAGTAGGTATCAAAGAAGTCGAATCTGTATTTTTGCCTATATCCTTTGGCAACGAACCTAGCCTTATATTTTTCAATGGATGCATAAGATTTATGTTTTTTCTTAAAAATCCATTTACACCCTAAAGGCTTATTTCGTGGAGGTAAATCAACAAACTCCCAAGTATGGTTTTGCATTATCGAATCTATCTAACTATTGAGAGCTTCTTTCCAATGCGGTGCTTCCGATGTAGACATGACTTCATCGAAAGTCTTTGGATCAT